GATTTACCATTACATTGAAAGTATGTTAGTTTCTTTCTTCCTGAACAGTAAACACTTTGAAGATAGGGACTGTGTTTAACTCCTTGAATTCCCTGTACCAATCACTCTGGAACTGGACTCCTTGATCTGTCCCTTACTAATTGTGTGACCTTAGGCAGATTACTTCACATCTCTGAGACTTTGCTTCATTTTTTAAAAATGATGATTGTGATTCTTCAATATTGGTTTATTTTGTTTTATTTACTTAGACACAAAATCTCCTGGGACTTTCTGATCATCTGTTCAGATTTATATTGTTTCTTTGTGAAATTTTTCTCAAGTACTCATTAATGTGCTCTACTTGTTTAATGTTCAGTCTATATGAGGGAATCTATAAAAGGAAAGAATGGACATAGACCTGAAAAGTACACCTTTAAGTCACTGCTTAGAAGAGTTCAGAAAATATCAGACTTTTATGTTAATTAGATGAAATTTTAAAACCTGAGAAGGACTTTTACCACTGTCTTGTAAGACATGATTTAGTTACTTTCATCTGCTTAGAGTCAAGGAGTTTGTCTGCTCCTTGATTGGTATCAAGTGACCTTAAAGACACCAAGTGCTCTCACAAAGTCTTCTCAATCTAAAACTTCAACTCTTTTAGGCTAAACACTTGTTTCCTCAGTTTTCTGAATATAATATACTTACTCCCTGATGGATGAATTTCCCAGAGATGATTTAGAATTCTGGTGACTACTGGGGGAAATATGACATTGGCAAAAATATAAAGCCTGCACTATTTCAGATAGTGTGAATATGATCCCCATCATATGGTATTTACATACTAATGGCACACTAGGAATAAATTAAAACAAATAGCACAATGTCAAGCAGTGACAGTACCAATACTACAAAAAGTTAGTGTTTGTAAAGGAGTTTATAATTAAAATAGGGCTGTTTGAGAGATTAGATGCATGTTAGATTTGTTCGTTGGCCTGTAAAAGGGGATGAAGTGTACAATGTGAATCTCTAGGTGAAAAAGGTTACGATGAAGATTGCAAAGACTAGAGACAGTGTGTGCATGACATATTTAGGGAAAACAAAACAGCTAGCCTGGCTGGAGCACAGAGAGAAAGCAGAAAAAAATAGGAAATAAAGTTTGAAAGTTATCCAGGTGCCATGTATTGTGAGGTCCCAAGAACATGGAATATTTTGCTTTTTCTACTAGGATTGAGAAAATATTTTGCACTGATTTATGTAATTAAAAGGATCACTCTGGTTGCTTAAACAAGAGTAGGAAGGCAGGATTAAGAAATCTTGGATTATGCTGGAAGAGGATGGTCAGATTATAAGTAAGGGAAGGAGGAATCAACAAATTGTGATGTCGAATGTCTTTCTGATGAATGCTAGCGTTAGTTACAAGAGGTGAAAGGGAAGACAACTTCCTAAGACACTGTAGAGGCAGGGTAAGTTGGAAACTACATGAGAATAGCAGTATGCTTAGAGAGCATGAGGAAAATGGGAAGCAGCTCTGTGGCTCTGAATACTGGTATTTAGGGTGGTAGCACCAATATAATTAACAATAAGAAAATTAAACAAATTTTGGAGAGAAAAAAGATAATGGATTTTGATTATGCTCTATATAACTCGATGTAAAGTTCATATTCTTATCTCCAAATAGGCAAAAATGAAGGCTTTTTACAAAGGTCAAGAAAAGAACAAGGGGTTTTTCTTTTGGGGACATTAAAGCAAAATCAGTAGATCATTAGGCTTGAGGTGTTTCTACATCACAAACTCTAACCACGCTGGAACATAACTGTGAAACATTTCTTGTAATTGATGGGGAGTGAGGAGAAACAACAATCAGGCCTCGGCCAGTCACAAGCATCCAACCTCATCATGCCATGAAAGGCAAATGACTAGTTGTAGCAGTCAAGTAATTTCCTTACTTTGTGTTTATGTTATGCCTATAGGAGCTGGCTGCTCACATTACAGGAGCTGTGCTCTCTGAAACTCTTCTGCTTCTGAGTGCTGCCAGAATTATGAATTGTTCTCTGCTCAACAAAATGTATTAAATTTAACTAGTCTAAAGATTTTTTTCACAGCACCCGGGAGGAAACTCCCCACCTCCATCCCAGGCTCCTAGGGCAGAGAAGCTCAGCCGGTCCCAGCACCTGGAAGGAAGCTCCCCCACCGCCATCCCAAGCTCCTAGGGCAGAGCAGTTGAGCCGCGTGGGTGCCAGAAGATTTTTTTCAAACAGGAGTAACACCTAATATGATCAAAACGTCCACATAATAACTGTAAATTCAAAGCCTGGGAGACAGAAAAGAGATTTATTAAACTCCTTTTATACAAGTGATATAGGATGAACATGGCTATAGACATAGACTTCCAAAGTTCAAATTTCTGCTCTATCTTTTTCTAGTTGTATTGTATAACCTTCAATTAGACTTTGACCCTCATTTCTTTACCTGAAATGTTATTCTAGAATTTCCTTGATAAGGTTGTTGTGAAGCAAGCATTCTTAACTTGGAGTTCACTAAATTTAGGAGCAGCTTTGAACATTGCTCTGAGAAATTATAACCCTATTTCTATTGATGTGCTGTAAAAATTTAGTTACCTTCCTAAAGGGAGGCAACAAACTGTAGTATACTGTAATATTGGCAACATCTACAGTTTTGTTGCTTATAACAATTAGATATTTGTGTATGACTCAACAGCAGTTGTTGATACCATAAAATATTGTGATCGTTACTACTTCTAAATTACCAAATGTATTAGAACTGCTGTTAGATTATATATGATTGAAGAATTCATCTATGTTTCTCATACAGGTTTGCCCAAGGATCCTCCAATTCTGTGCCTTTTGGTCAATCATAATCACACTGTGAAGTCTGAATGTTTACACATTCATTGATTCTCCTATCAAAGCTGTTGTTCAGTCTCCCCAAAACATAAATGTTTGTTCAACAGCATGAGAAATAAATGAATTTTGATAATGATATTTCACTATAATCTATTTTTTGGTAATCCTATTGTCATTGGGAAGCCAGGTCCTGACACTGAAAGGAACCAGTCTTTGCTCCTTGGTTCTTTGTGGCTTTGATGAAAGAATTCAAAATACTTAGGTGGCCATGTTAAAGCATAGGTAGGGTTTATTGTAAAGCAGATATAGTGTTATGCATCCAGTTGAGAAGGTGTGCAGTGCTATGTAGTCATCTGCATCCACTGCAAGTTTGGATATCTGGATATCTTTTTATGCACACAAGAGTTACTCCAGTGGTTCAGGGAACTATGAGGATTATGATACTTGTCTACATTTTTATTAGAGGTTACTTTGGAATTGCAAAGTATTTTCCTAGCTTTTTTTTTTTTTTAGATGGTCAGTGTTCCCTCAGGGGCATTAAAGAAATTTCAGAAAGAAAAGTTTCAAATCAGGTCTTATCCCAGTGTGAGTGGGTGTGTAAAAAATGCTCCCATTTTTGGTATCATTGGGCCATAGGTCATGGCCACCAGGAATGTATACCTTTTTCTAGAAATAGAAGCCCTGTGTTTCAGGTCTGGGATCTCGTAAATAAATGTTTATAAATGTAATATACATTTAAGTCTTTGCTTCTCCATTGAACCACAGTATAAGTGGCACAGCATGCTATTTTGGACTTACTTTGTCCTTTAGACCTGCTAATGTCTACCTGCCTAACCCTATAATTTCGTACATTTAAAATACTATTTTAAGATGAAGCCAGTAGTTTTCATCTGATTATCAAAGATGTTCAGAGCCTAAGTGAAGAAATCTAGAGGTAGAGAAATACAATGAGCACCCATGACCTAGTAATATAGGAAAATTGTAACTTCTGACCTGTTAGATGTCAAATATGCTGAGTTTATGGTCTTGCAACATCAAGAAATGAAGTTGTGAACCAAAGGAGAAAGTTAGAAGAGTTTTATTGGGAATAAGATGAAGTGTAGCTTCTGGATTTCCAGGAGTCCCTAGTGGGTGGCCACCAAGGCCCTTTGTCAGGGGTAATTTATATGGGAAGATTACAATGTGGGTACAACATGGGTCAAAATATAATCAACCTTTAGGATTACAAGTGTAGTCACTTAGCTAATGCCGATCCAATAGACAAGTGAGACACATAGCAAGGGTATATGGAAGATAAACAAATTATTGGAGAGGAATCAGAGTGTGGGTCCAGATGTTCTGGTCCCCCATCTATGTGTCTGATGCCTATCTGGGCCCATTGGACCACGTGGTGCTAAAACTGCAGTATAATCTTAAATTGCTGTTTATCTCTAGGGAGGCTTGCACGCCTGGCTCTCTTTAGATTTGCTTCCAGCCATAATTCTGATGTCTCTATTTTTTTGTACTAACTTCCTCATGGGACCAATCCCTCTCTGACTGCATATTCATTTCTATCTGACTTAGCTGTCTATAACATTAATACAGCACCTGGCCTATGTCAGATGTTCAATAAACAGTCTGCCACCATTCTTAAAATACTTAGAAAATAGGAGTTGAATTGAGTTCCACTCGTTGTTGCATTCAAAGCAGCTAGATCAGTCAGTGCTCTGTACATTGGACTTCCTTGAATAGTGAGTGAATAGTCTCCCTCAGCCAGAAGTGGATGAGACAGCTGCTCAGTTGCGGGGCAACTTCTACCATCCCAGGGGCTCTAGAGTATGTCTGAGAAAACAAGCGGGTTGGGGCGCCACAGCTGTTCTTCAACATATCTCAGAGCTTGAAGGAGGCTAGAGGGGCCAGCATCTTATTCTTCCATGTTCTCCTTCGTCATCCAGAGCAATCAGGTCTAAGGCTGCAGGTAAATGTGCTGGACTAAGAGGTCGCCCACGGACTCCACGACACAGTAACGGTTTCAGATGCGGGCGGCCTGCGGTTGAGGAGCGCGCCCGAGCAGAGGTCCGCCCAGGGCGCCGGTCTGAAAGCAGCGCCCAGAGCGCTCCTCGCCACGCCCACTTCCTGCCCCCTCCGCGCCTGGCCAGGTCCTCTCCCGCGGACCGCATGCGCCGTCAGTCTTCTCCTGCACGGCCTCGGCCTACCTCGCAAAGCCTCTGCCATCCCTAGGGCCAGGCCAGGACGCTCCCCGCGGGCGGGCGGAGGTGTGGGACGCGGTAGGAGCTGGGCGCGCACGGCTACCGCGCGTGGAGGAGGCACGGGCCCGCGGCGATGGGGGCCAGGGCCGCTCCTTCACGCCGGAGACTGGCGGGGCGGCGTCTGAGGTACCTGCCCGCTGGGAGCTTTCCCTTACTTCTCCTCCTGCTGCTCCTCTGCATCCAGCTCGGGGGAGGACAGAAGAAAAAAGAGGTAGAATGAATCCGGTTGGCTTCTGGGGTGGCCCTGGGAGGTTGGGGCGGGCCACGTTGCTAGGATGCCAGGGCCCGTTGCTAAGCAGCCCGGCAGGCGTGGGCAGGGTGGCGCGGGGCAGAGGCCGGTGGGGCGTGGGCCGCAGCCCGGGGAACCGGTTGGTTTGCTCTGTGCCCCTTGAGGCTGCGCCTGGCTCTCTCCCTCATCAGCCCCCGAGCGCTTCCAACTTCGGCTGTAGGCGGAGATTGGAGCACCAGGGTCACTAAAAGGGTTGTGGTGGATGTTCATTACCCTTTACTCGTGTTTATAAACCTGTGGGAACTGTTTGGCTCCTGTTTGCTTACTCTGCTCTCTTCTTTACCCATTTCAGAAGGCTGCACAGCATTTTGCGAGTGCTTTTTTTGTTTCCTAAAATTATACCACGTTTATTTTTAGGTTAAACTGAATGTGTACGTGTGAGAATAGCCTCACATTATCGTATGCAAATTCGTTTGTGAAGTTCAGATCACCTGATTTCAATCTTAGCCCATCATTAATATTTAGGGACGGTGACATATGAAGTTATTGTATTTAAAGTACTGTAGTTTGTATAATGACTTGTGAATTCATACATTATTCCCGTGGATAGTTGACCTGGCAGCTTCAGAAAAAATTTATTTTCAGACATGTGACTAAGGTTTCAAATTGTGGATATTTTTAATAAGAGTATTCATAATTTAAAACGGATTTTCCTGGTGAAATTATGCAGCTACCTGTGGCTCATAATCTGCACCATGTTCAAGTCATTAACAGAATTTTCTTAATTGCTTGGCTCATAGTGGATAAGTAGTCTGACATGCAAAGTAATTCTGATTCTTTTTTCTGTTTACTCTTCATTCAGTGTTCAATAACTTTTAGTTTTTTTATTTTTGTCTTAAAGTAGGCTATACAAAATTCTCGTTGTAGTTGTGATAAAGGATTTACAAGAATCATTACAGTTAAAATTGTTTATAAACACTGTATAAATTAAAGGTATATTTTCTCTAAACATGTTGTATTTAGTATATGTGCTGCCGAAGCAAGCACAACACGTTGTATTTATATGGAATTAGATTTTGTAGTTGTTCATGAGGAAGGAAATTGAGGAGTAAACAGATTTTTTTTGTTACTAGAGTAGAAGGCGATAAAAATGATTCGGAACTCTATGAAAATTCTAAATTTTTTTTTTTTTAATCTCCTGGGAAGACTGCTGTGGCCATTCTTTCAGTAAGGAAAAACATAAAGTGTACAGGTTCATAGCATCTTAGCCTCTCCAATTGTAAGAGGACATTAATATGTGAAACATTTGATAACTGGATAACAGGCTATACTTGAATCTAAATGAGAATAACATCTAATTTTCCTTTTTTCTTTTTTTTTTTGTAGTACTGGGTTAAACCCAGGGCCTCAGGTATGGTAGATAATTGCTTTTCAGACCTTTTTAAAATTTTGAGTCACTGTCCTTCGAAGTTCAAGTGGCAGGCCTGGAACTTGAGATTCTTTTCTCTCAGCCTCCCAAGCAGCTGGAAATAGGAGTGTGTGCCATCTGCCCAGAATAAAAGATATTTTAAGAATAAAGGATTAGGTAGAACTGCTGTTGAATATTAAAGAAGGACGTCTTCCAAAATTACTTTTTTTCTCATAAACAGGAGACCCTAATAGATGATGGTGGTACAGAATACACATATTTTATTTAAGGAAAAGATGAACAAATTAACAATTTGTACAATTCAAGTTTTGATACTTTTCTCAATAAGTGTGTGTGTCTCTGAAATACAGCTCACTTTCACATCTGGTACTCAGTTCATTAACTGATCTCTTCCAATATTGGAAGACAAACACTGAAAATGAGAAATGCTTGGTCACCAATATGGTACTTTCCTAGGGTTGTTTTGACCATATGTGGTTTCTTCCCTGCTGATTTTAGAACCTGGTTTGACATCATTGAACCAGGCAGTATAGTAATTGGAATTTAATTACTCACATATGTATCAGAATAGGTAAATTGGGGGCTGGGGACTTAGCTCAGTGGTTTTGCTGCCTGCCACACAAACACAAGGACCCGAGTTCAATCCCCGGTACCAAAAAAAAAAAAAAATAGGTAAATTGGCTTGAGCAGTTGTCCTTTATCCTGGTGAAGTTATATAGTAAAGGTTGGACCTAAGAATGGAGGTGGTTGCTTTTATTTAAGTAAAAATTATAGCAGTAATAATTTCTGCCTTGAATTTTTTTGAGTTGGTCCAATTACAACTTAGCCCTTACCTGCTTATATGACACTAAGCAAACCACTTAATCCTCTTGAATTTAAAATTTCCTTGTTTTAATATGCAGACATAATGCCTACATATCAGGGTTGTTGGTATTAGTTCAGTGCCTAGAGCACAAGTGACCAATAAGTGATAACTATTACTCTCAATGTTAGACATGAGATTCTAAAATGTGACGAGATATTTTTTTTTTTTGAGGGGGTACAGGAAATTGAACTCAGGACCTGGAGCTTGCCAAGCAGGCACTGTGCCACTGAACTACATCCTTGGCCCAAGAATTTTTTAAAATTGATTTTTTGGTTAGATACAGTTTATAATAATAGCCTCTGGAATAAATTATCTATTATTCATTATGAAACACTGAGAATTCCAAATTAGTAAGTTGTTTGATAATTTCCCAGAAAGAGATTTTGCATTATTGAAGAATTGGTTATGTTCCTTGAATTGTTGTGTCTATTTGTGTATGTGTATGTTTATACATGTTTCTTTGTAAAGACATTTTTATTCCTTGAAAGTTTTATTGTTTTTTCTTTTAAGAATATACTGAAGAGAAATAGTTAAATGATCAAGCACAGAAAATTTATCAAATATTTTACTTTCTTTGATTGCATTAAATATAATCGTTAACAGCTAATTTTTGAATCCTCTTTCATGTTAAATAATGTGAGGCTAGACTTTTGCTTCCTAGTAGTATTAATTTGACTATTTAGTACATTTTGTTTTTCTTTTGACATTTTGATTTAGGATTGTTTTAATTTTTTTTTTTTTTTTTTTTGGCCAGGAATCGAACTCGGGAACTTGTGCTTGCAAGGCAGGCATGGTGCCGCTGAGCTAAATCCCCAGTCCTGTTTTAATTTTTAATGACTTCTTTTGATCATGTAAAATGAGCCCAAATTCTCATGATTTCCAATAGACTTACTGGCTTTGTCAGTCATCAAATGAAGCTGTTAAAATAATTTATCCTATCTACAAAGAATGTGATTAGTTAACAGGCTATCATATGTAGGTAATAATGACTACTGATATGAAAAATTGAGCAGTTTGTAAATATTTTCTAAGAATAAAGTGCTTGCCTAAATGAAACATTCTAATTTTCTTTGACATACTTTTGTATGTCCTTCATGTGTTTAATCACATTTAACAATGAGATGTATAATATCCAGTTATTTTTAGTGGCGAAAATGACTTTACTATCCTAGTAAATGAAAAAACGGGAGAAGATAGAGGTAAGGAATGAATGCTGCCTTTAAACGAAGAATTTAATTGGAAGAAAAAGTTGGCAAACACAGTACAGCTTTCAGAAGTACATGGTAATTGTAGATTGCTGTGTCTGCACATACAGATGATGCTGATATCAGGCAGTTACTTTAGTTAGTTGAGATTATGTGTATAACTCCCATGAAGAGGGATTAAACATGACAGGCCTTAACCTAGAATAGCCAGAGTTGCCCAGTCTGCCCCAGTTTCGTGGATGGTGGTGGAAGACATGGGATTGCCATGTCTCAGTATTCCACATTACACTTATTCTCTAAGAAAGGACACAAGCAAGGGGAATTACCTCTTCATGTCTCTGGATATGTGTATGAGAATGGGATGCACTTTCATACATCTATTTGTCATAGCAGGAAATCTATGCACATTTCACTCAAATTCTAAGTTTTACCCATTGGTGACTTTTTAACACCCCCCCCCATCCCTACTCCAGCCAAAGTTATCAACTGAGACTTCTCTGAAGAATACAAAAATCTTTGAGTTCTGTTTAAGTACCACAGGGCTGTCGAACACACTCTCTAAACTTATTTCCTGTGAGCCTTTGCTCTTTCTCCTAGTTTGTATACCACCACTCTTACATGCCTCCCACCAGTATTAACTTAGGCACATTACCTCTTCCACTTTTTTGATGAGGTTCTGTGCTCAGATAGGTGGATTTTTGTGCTTGCTTCTTCATAGCATTTACATGCAGTGGTGTTTTGTCATTCTTTTTATTTGGTAAGTGCTTTGAGAAGGTTATGTTTTTTTCATATATGTATTCCTGTATTCAAACATACTGCTTTTGATAAAGTGTGTGGTGGGTTCCTGAGAGATAGATTCCAGATTCTTGTGTACGATGAGCAAAGAATTGCCAAGTATACACCTGACAGAAAAAGTGGCTACATTTATTGAAGTTAATGGAGGACAGTGTACTCAGAGTGAGCAGGTTTGTGCCAGCAGAAACAAAAAGGTTTTGGGAGTGGGGATTTAGCTCAGTGGTTCTGCAACCTGCCTCACAATCGCAAGGTCCCGAGTTCTATTCCCGGTACCAAAGGAAAAGAAAAAAAGTATGATCTCAAGGTGCATCCATTTATCTAGAAATGTCTCAAGTTTATCCTTCTTTATGGCAGAGTAGTACTCTATTGTATATAAAAATTCACATCTTCTTTATTCTTTGGTTGATGGCATTTGGGCTGTTTCTAAGGTTTACCTAATACAAACTGTTCTGCTATAAACATGGGGGTGCATGTATCGCTGTGGTATGATGTTTTTAATTCTTTTGGGAATATACTAAGAAGAGGCATAGCTGGCTTAAATGGAAACTCATCCTAGTTTTTTGAGGTATCTTCATACTGATTTCCACAGTGGTTGCACTGGTCTGCACTCCCACCAGCAATGGAGAAGGGTTTCTTTTCCCCACAGCCCCACCAGCATTTGTTATTGGTTGATTTCATGATAGCAGCC